CCAAAAAAAAATCTCTTTCTGTGAGTGAGTACTTTTATATTGTCAAATTTTCCTGAAAATTGGATTTATATTATAAAAATAGGTATGAGAATGTCTCCTTTGTTATATTTATGTCGAATATGCATCTTTTTAAAGGGATGTTGTGAGGTAGTTGATCTTAGATCCTCTGATAATCGGCTAAAGCTTGCATTTGGCCCTGCTCTCATCTGTTTACAATTCTGTCAGCCTCTTCAGCCCAGTATGACTTTGCCTTTTGCCCCTTGTCCAATATGAAAAAGAAAAAACTTTTTTTTTTTAAAAAGGAGGATTTGCATGTCAATAGATCTTAGCGGAGGCCCCTTCGTCACCATGCGTTTCATTGTGCCATCAACTAATTCCACAAACTATGCTGGTAGAAGAAAAAAAAGGAGGAAGAAAAAAAAACAAAAAACATTTTGCATTGGCCCGAAATTCTGTTGCGGGCCCTGGTCAGATTAATACCCGTTCCAGGGAGCTTGTTTGGACAGTGTTGTAAAAACAGATCACTGATAGTTATGTATTAGTCGGGGATTAACATGACTTTCACCCTGGTTTCTGCGAACAATAAAGCTTTAATCTTGGGTCTGGCCGGTGGGCCGGGCTGCAGCGGGGACGGGCCAATGAGCTGGCTGCCATTCCTGCGGCGTGGCCCCGCCCAGGGACGTCTCCCGTGGCGGCGGCGGCGGTGCTGGGGCCGGCCCCGGCCTGGCAGCAGCCCGCGGTGACAGACGCGCCCCTGGGATTCCACCTGTCAGCCGCACACGCACTAATCGACGGGCCTCGTATAAGCTGAACTCTCCGTCACCTCTCTGTCAAATCTTCATCTTCTCAATCGCCCGACAGACTCCCTCTCCGCCCACCCCCCCCTTTCTCTCTTTTACCACGAACTCAGCCTGTCCGCCAGCCTGGAGGAAAAAAAATGTATCAGCTCCGGCCCCTCCAAGCCCACTGCGCCCAAACGACACGCATTCTCTCATGTAAAAAAGATGAGGGGGAGAAGGAAAAAAAAAAAAGGATTTTTTTTTTGACGAGTAATCCAAACTGTGTGCCGGATTCACACGGCACAGTCCCCTTCTTCTGCCTGGCTTTCAGCTTTAATGTGACAGAGGTGGTCTTTAATGTTGAGTTGTAATTGGGCAGGAGAGGCAGAGACTGTTAGGGAGGAGGAGGAGGAGGAGGAAGGGTCATGGTCAGGTTCCACGTGGAGGTTATTCTGCATCTGTCTCTTAGCAACGACTGCCCGCTCTTTGTACAGTCCTTGAGTTGATTGGTGTGTGTGTGTGTGGGTGTGTGTGTGTGTGTGTGTGTGTGTGTGTGTGTGTGCGTGTGTGTGTGAGTTCTCTGGTCCGTTTGCTGCAATGTTTTCTGAGGAGAGCTCCTCAATAGACAGGCCTTCCCCCACATTTGTGCCGTCTAAAATGTTGTTTCCTTGAGCATCAGACAGACTCACCCAGGTGTAAATTAAGATTTTTTAAAGGGAGATTAAAAAAAATGCAGATATTTAATTTGGTCAGTGAAAATATAAAGAACTTCTTGGTAAAAAAAAAAAGTTTTTTGTGAATACAAGAAGCGCCTGGCCTGTAGTTGGGTGGCTTTTGGCTGAGGCTCACCATCCTTAAACAGCTCTCTTCTCTCTGGTTGGTGTCAGGTGAAAGGCCAGGCCGGGGGTCAGAGGTCACTGCAGCGATGCAGCGGGGAACTTCATCAGCTTGAAGGCTCCACGAGCGGCCAGACAGCCGGGCATGACGTAGAGAATCGGATTAGAAGGGCAACTGGTGGTCAAGGAGGCAGAATATAGGTGAGAGGACAAGCCTAAATTTATTTTCCCAGCACCCAAAGCAACGCAGGCCGCTCCCATATCGATGATGTCGGCGAAATGAGATCAGAATCCCGGTTTAAAATCCCCACGCTTTTACTGACCAGGAAGGAAATCACGTGACAGACGAGGTCTGTTTTGACAGAACAAAAAGCTTTTTTCCGACATTTGATTAAAAAACAAAAACGTTGTTCTCAAGTGCTGCCGCAGATTACCTGCAAAAGATTAAAGGAAGCTGGTGTTCAGAGATAAATGTTGATCAGAGACTCCTCTGAAGAGGAGATGGAGCTCTGACTGAGATGTTTAATGCCAAGCCGGGACAGATGGAGCCTCATCAGCACTGACAGTGATTTTCATTCCTCTAAACATTCTGCTATCTGTAACCACTGAACTTTTAATGACCTTTGCAATGTGACTGCTGTTTTTATTTCTTTTTTTTTTTCAATCGTATTTTGTGAGTTGTGGGAGGAAGATCTGCCTGTTTTTTTTTCTTTATTTTAAAATTAAAGTTTGACAGACTGAAAAAAGAATACACTTGGTCTTATGACTGTGATCAGGCTGCTGTGGTGAAACATTTATAGGCCGGAAGTTTGATTAAACAGCATTAAAGGGCGATCAAAGTAGATCACGCGATAACATGTGCAGCAAAATAAGTTTTTTTTTGTCTTTTTAAATTTTCTATCCCATGACAGCATTTTTCTTTTATTTTTATCGTTATCATAAACAATTTCTTCGGTTTTTTTGGACAGTTTTCATTTAAGGAAAATAAAACGCAGTTCAGGCGGTCCGAAATTAAAATGTACGCAAACGTAATTTCAGATTAGGTCACAAAATTCCAATAAAAAATATTTTACAAAATGGAACATACGCAAAAAACTCCCCAACAAAAAAAAAGATCGAATACTAAAGTATCTGGGGCGGGGGGACGGTTTGGTTGAGACGTATTTGCATTTCAGGAATTGTTTCGTTCCTTCTGGAGCTGGGGGTTATTTAAATGGCCAGCATTCACTCGATGTATTTTGAAAAATAAATTTGTTATAATCTGAAAACGTGGTGTGATGCTGAAGCGTTTTAGAAAAACGATCGTTATTATGAGGCCTGCGTCGTGGTTCTGATGATTTAACATTTAAGCTTTAGGTCTGATTTGGCAAGTTTGTTTGTTACGCAGTTGGCCCAAAATAATTATCAAACCTTTTAAAGTTTTTTTTGTTTTTGTTTTTTAAACAAAAGCTTCCCATCTCATTTAATTATTCTGTGATCAGCAAGTGAGCATATTTGAAAGGACATTTGACATAAAGTTTCACACAGAAGACAGAGAAAACTTTTTTAAATCGATCATTACAAACTATTTAGTTGTTTGATTCTGAAAAAAAAAAAACGTTTGTATCTTCCACCCCTTTCTTAAAAGCCTTGCTCTCTTAAATGAGTTCTCTACTTTCCGTTAGAAAGGCTTACTTCTAAATTTGATTTAAAGCAGCCCGGACATTTGTGTTAGGGCAGCATCAAGAAGTTAAAACAGAATAATTGAACTATGTATAAACATTATATTCACGTTCTAAGGCATAATAAAATAAACTGTTTGTGGCAGAGATTTAGATTTTTTTAAATACGCCATTTAGATTCAAACAAAGAAGCTACATCACGGCAAATAGTGATATCTAAATTGTGAGGAAAAAAAGAGAAATTATAGAATGAAATGTGGATTTCAACAACTATGAAAAATGTTAAAGATTTCGAAACATTTCTGGTTCGGCCTCTGCTCACCAGGTTCATCAATAAATATAAATGGCTAACCTACAATCAATTAAAAAAAGAAGAAGAAAACAAAAAACCAAAGATGACAGATAAAGCTCATAATAACACAGTTACTATGGAGAATAATTGTCAGGTTTCATTCCTGTGTCCCAAAACTTTATTTTCCAGGCAGGAAGTTCACTTAAATGATTTTACACGGGCTACTTTTCTTCAAAGTTTAGCAAACAGTGCTAAAACAAGAACACCTTCACGCGAAGCATCCAAACCACGGTTAATTCCACATTCACATAAAACACGGTTTATTATCAGACAATAATGTTTCATTTAGACAATAAGCTGCTTTTTTTTAATGACAGTCTGTTTCGTAGCTGCGAAGAATGGCAACAATGTTCCACCTAGGCTTCTTAACAACTCCCTCCATATTAAAAAATATTACATGAAAGGAGCGCGTTGTGATTGGCTGCGCGAATGTTACTCCTGCAATCTGATTGGCCGAGACCCCACTACGTAGCTCGGAGTTGGAGGCTGCGCCGTCTCTTCCTGGAGTGGGGCCCAGAAACAGCAACAACACGGCGGCCCGCCGAGCTGCGGTGGGGCGGCCGCTCCTGGAGGCAGAAACCCGGACGCTGCCGAGTTTTCCTCCGGCGTTAGCAGCCTGCTCCGCAGACTCTCTTGCCGTTTCCTTCTCCGCGGACCTGTACGTGTGTGGGAAAATGCTCCATTGTTTGGGGTTGGCCCGGCACCCGGCTTCATCCTCCTCAGGGTAAACTGTAGTGACAGAGCACTCGGGGGCCCCTCATTAGCTCTCTGTCCACTAAGAAGCAAAGAAGCTGCTTTAATCCTCTCTGTCTTCTTCAATCTGGAACCACAGACATGATTCGATTTTTCTTTCTCCTCTCCTTTGCAGAGTTTGACCACCAAAACACATGAGCATATGCGTTAACTTGGTGACCAATAACTGGTTTGTGGGAAAATATAGTATTAAAAAAAAAGCTTTGCAGACTTCTGCAGTTTATCTAAAAAACTATGCAACTGATATGTATTTAAACTAATTGATTAAAATAGGAATATATATCTACTGCATGGTCTGGTGGTCAGCAGCCTGTTTATATATTTGTTTTCTGTTCGTTCCAGTATAATACAACCTCAGTGCTGGAGCAAAGCTAAGGACTCTCCTGCAATGGGCCTTCAAATCAGGCAAATTTACTATGGCATCCACATCAGAAAGTCCCTCTCAGTGCAAGTAATTAGTTCATTACAATCTCCAAACAGAGTCCAGAGCATCGCACAACTCTCCCTGGCACTCACATTCAATACAAAGCATTAAAAAAAGAAATCTGTCCATTCTGCCTGAGGTCCACATTGAAACATACTTGTCTTTGTTTCAGATGTTAGTCATAAACAAGATGGTGACGGTGAAATAAACCAAATACACTTTATTTATAAATCTTGAGTTATAATTTAATACGGTACCAATATGTTAACTTTCACAGTACATCAGAGTGGTTGTCAAAGAAGAAAAAAGCAAACAAATAAAGAGTAGTAAAGACAAATAAACACACACACATGCACATACACGCTGGTACACACTCATCTCAGCCATACCCTGCAGTGGTCGGGCTCAGAGCAGCGCACGTGTTCTAACAAAGTACATTTGGTCTCTTGGACCGGGAAGTCGTGCGCCATTCATCTTATCGGGGAATTGGAACTATGCATTCAACCTGGTGCTTTGAAGAAGAAGAAGAAAAAAATCTTTCTGAGTGAAAAAGACCTGGAAACATGAAATAATTCAAAGAGGTAACGTGTGCGTCATTACTCTCCTAATGCCGCAGCCTTTCTCTGGACTTTGGACGTATAGCCTGAAGAAACTTTCCAGCAGTCAGCCCCACTCAGCTCCACATCGATGCCAAATAAAACCACTGTCCAAATTTGCTCATTTCCAAACGGAAACCTCTCTTATTTGTTATAAATCCAGGATTAACTGAAGAGCATGGCAAGAGGGAATAATATAATTATTTGAGGACCAACTATTCAGGGGAATGTTTATGAGGAAAGTTTTCCTAAGAAATTATTAACAAGCAAATAATTACTTGGCACAAACCAATACTGACAAGAAGTGCGTTTTCCAAACTAGCTGGACTTGTTCTTTGCATGTTGGTGAGTAAAAACTGACTCAGAAAGTGAAATAACTAAAAGCAGGCCATTAATGTTGCCTGTCTGTCTGTGCGGAGCTGAAATCTGATGACGGTAAACATCCGTGAAATGTTCCATAAGTCCAAAGTGCTAATGTCTGGAAGGTACGAGAACAACAACAACAAAAAAAGCTAAAGGAAACAGATCCACACAAGACGGTCCCTGCAGTATTCTCATTAACCGTGGCCAAAAAAAAAGAAAGAAAACAAATGACATGGTACACTGAAAAATAAGAGAGGATTCCAAACATAATTTACAAGCTTGATAAATATACACGCAGGTCCAATAAATATGGTTTGTTAACCCACAGATCATGAGAGATCAACACAATGAAGGGGGGAAAAAACAAAAACAAAAAGAGTCCCATCAGAGGCAATCATTTATGGAATATTCTTTCTGCCAGTGGGGTCACATCATTGCTTCCCAAACCTTTACAGAATAAGGCAGATTCGCTCCTCTGATGTCAAGAAAATAGCAACGTTACATTAAACCTTTACATCTTAATAATCTCATTCCACTGGCAGCTCCTCTGACTCGTGTGAATCAGCAGAGATTTTCAGCTGTGCTGCATGACAAAAGACTTGATTTCAGGTGCGGGGGGCCTTTTCCTGACATTAGTGGCGCCATCACAGCTTTTAGCTTTATTGAATGGGCATGTAGGGCCAGCTGAAGCTGCTGCCTGACAGCAGCATGTCCCTTATTAGAGTTTCAATGGGAGTTTTCCCCACCAGACGTACAAAGAAAAGCTGCTCTATGACAGAGGAGGAGACGGTGCGGAGGGAAGGCAAGCGAAGCAGCAGCTTCCCAAACCTGTTGGGCTGGTTGGGGTACTGACTCCTCACGTACTCCTCTAAAGCACACTGGGATTTCTCCTGGAGACCTTCCACGTGGGCTACGTCCGACAAACCACAAGCATCTGAGAGGAGAAACAGGGCAAAGATGGAAAGCTTTACTCGACAGGAGACTCCCTGTTCACAGGAAAAAGACAATAAGATAAAATAATCAAACAAAATTCTGATATTTACAAAAAAAACAAAAAAAACACATCCCAGTTTAGTAAGATGACTAAAAAGATTAAATAAGTTGTCGTGCAGAATACTGATGAAATTGACCGTTGTGCTGAGCTAACCTTTGTGCTAAAATAATAATAATAGTAAAACCCATGCCAATACATCAAAAAGAACAGAAAAACATGATCTATGCAGTGAATTGTGAATAAACAAAAGAAATATCATCAATATTGTGCTATCAAATATGATGCTTGTGCTCCCATGTGTACTTAAAAAAAATAGAAAAATGGTAAAAGTTACCGTTGGAAGGAAACGGGATAAATGAGCTTCAAAGCAAAGCCTGAGCTTTGACTGCTGCACTCTATAAGACCTTTGCTTTTCCACTCATAGCACAGCTCTGTGCAGGCTCTGTAGCGCTGCAAGCAGGACGGCAGCAGGGGTTAAAGAAAGGCTACTGTGTCCCAGTTTAAAGACACGTGTTCAGATGTGCTCATGGGGACAAAAATAGACCTACATAAGAGACCTTCTTTTATTTTTTTACTCTGCTGCTGCTCATCCTTTTGATCCAGCTCAACATCCAGCAGCTCAGACAGTGTTCCTGAAAGGCTGTGAAGTCGATTTAGCTTCTTTCACAAACGATCGCTGCATGTTTCTCATAAAACTGTATAAAAAAGCATCAGAATCTGTTGCCATTTTTATCTACTAATGATATTTAAAATCATTGGCAATGCAAGAGTATTTAAAAAAAAGGATTATATGATTTTTAAATAAACTTAAATATAAAGCATTTCCGTCACTTAGTTTAGCTGCTTTTATATATTTGATAAAAACAAGACTTTCCAATGATTAAAAGCCGGACTGATAGGTCCGTGTGAGGAATGTCAGGAATTTGTGGGATAAAATCTGTGATGGTGGAGTTAAAAATGCAGTTCTGATTTATTTTAGATAAAATGTATTATGAGGCCTGAAATGCAGATTTTCTCTTTTTAAAAGATTTTAAAGCCACATTTGCTAATGATAGTGACAACAAAGGAATGAAAAATCTGAAAATGTCAATAAACAAAATTCAAATAGGTATAAAATACCAGAGAAAAACCTAGTGTGATATTTGTCTTTGTCTTTCTCCTTTACTTCTATTTTTCAGATTTTTTAAAAGCGTTATTTTTAATGTTTAAATATTTATCTTTTTCCCGCTTTTAATCAATGGATATGTTTTTTTTTTAATGTTTTTTAATTGCCGTTTTGGCTTAAGAAATACGAAAATAGCACTTTTATAAATTTCCTCAAACACTGTAAATCTATTCTTTTTAACATGTTTAAATGTTTTTTTTTTTAAATATCCCTTTTCCTCTTTACATTGTATATTACACGTCAGTATTTATACAAGTATTTAGTCATAATTACCCCCAGTGAAATGTATAATATTTATTATTTGCTTATAAATAGCTCTAAAAAGGCTAGTTATTTTTTTATTTATTTTTTTTTTTTACTGCATATTCATGTTGTGCACATTGAGGCTGAATTAGTGTTAATCATTCCAGTTCTTGGGATCCCTTTCCCCCCCACGGTGGCAGTGGACGTGGGTGTGTAACCTCTACCTGTGGTGAACAGCACGATGGCCTTGATGCAGCTGTACTCCGCCGAGTCCACGTGCAGCACCTTGAGCTTCTCCACCTGCTCCTGGAAGACCCGGATGTGGTCCATGAAGGCCACCACCCGGTCGGCGGACATCGGGGACGCGTGCAGGCCCGCGGCGGCCAGCAGCGGGGCGACGTGCACCGGCATGGAGCACTGCGCGGCGTTCAGCACGAACAGTTCGCTCCAGGTGAGGCGCAGGAGGGCCACCTGGTCCGACACCTGCAGGTCGGGGAAGAACGGGATGTTGCGGGCCCACTCCACGGCGCTGAAAAGCATCCGCGCCGCCAGCTCGCAGATGTTCTCTATGCCCATGATGTTGTTGTTCTGCAGGCACTGAGAGCCGAACCTGGACGTCGGGTAGGGCTCGGCCCGCAGCAGCAGGGAAATGTAGCCGGACAGATAGGAGTGACACTGCAGAGGGTCCCCGTTGGTCAGAGCGAACTGGCCGTGGTAAGACTGCGTGGGTATTCTGCCCCTCTGGACAGCTGCAACGACAGGCAGGTGAGATGTCAGCTCACGCTACGGGCTGCGGACGCTTAAAATAGCCCAGGTGACATTTAGATAAAAAGCTGAAATGGCAAATGGCCCACACGGGGCATCTTTTAAAACAACCTTATGTCAATGGAAACAACAGGACATCTTCCAGCTCATACGCGCACTCGCTCGGACCCACGCACACACACACACACACACACACACACACACACACACTGTTCTTTTGTTCGCCAGTTCGTTTCGACGGTCGGTGGCGGCTTCCGGTCGGCTGCCTTCCCAGAGATGGGCGCCGAATAACGCTTTCGGACAGCTCCTGGAAAGAAATGTCACATCGCGCGCGGGACGCAGAAATGGGAGGATATTTCCAGGCCCCGACCTGCAGAAGCCTAAACGGAGCGGCGTGTTTGCGGGTGCTTCACCGGCTTCTATTTCAAATTCAAACCGTTTCGGCGGAGTTGTCGAACGGCCGCCTTTTCGTCAGAAACAAAATTTTCATTGACGTTTCGTGGGCCTACTTTCTAGGTCCACTTAACTGTGCTGGTATCCCTACCAGGCCCCATTTATTTCCTTTAAAGTTTAAGTCGTATATTTGATTAGAAACCTTCAAACGTGAAATTTAAATTAGGAACAAAATTAATAGTTTATTTATCACAGCTGCGGGCTCAATAGGCGACAGTTGGGCCTGTAAGACACAGACGAGGACAAAGTACACATAGTCGTACATATAAAATGGGTATTCCCAGAAAACCTAACATTACAAAGACATAAACACATGGAAATTATTATAAATTATAGCAATTTTACGGGCTAATTTTAATGTATGGGGGATTAAAAACGTCCTCGCCTTGTTTCAGCCATACACTGACCGAGGTAGCAACAATAGCCTACAATAAAGATGCTACAAGATGCTAGCTGAGACCCTGTATGGCCAGTTTCTACACCGACGGTTACACGTAATAAAACCTTTGATACGCAGAAGGATAACGTCTTGCATGAATATATTTAGGTGGATAAAATAAGGTATATCCGCTTTATCGCCTCTATGACTAAAGGGAACACGACGAGCTGCTGTGCTCCACAACTAAATTCTGCAAACATAAGCTAGGCTATATGTGTTGCATGCATCAAATAGGACAGGCACAAGTTCGAATGAAACAATAAGCACACAGCTTTATGGGAAACCGAGTTTTTCCTCAGAAATACGGGTGCTGCGTGATAACGTATACACCACACAGACACACGCACACACACACACACACACACACACACGCGACCTCACAACAGCTGTAGGATGCCGAGCGTACCTTCCCTCCTCATGCCGACTTTGAGGCATTTCTTGAGGCGGCAGTACTGGCACTGGTTGCGGTGGTGCTGGTCCACGGGGCAGTTTCTGTTGGCCCGGCAGGTGTACGTCAGGTTCCGCCGGACGCTGCGTTTGAAGAAGCTCTTACATCCCTCACAGGTGAACTGTCCGTAGTGCTTCCCGCTGGATTTGTCCCCGCACACGATGCACTCGATCTGCTGGCTCTGCTGCTTGTCCATGGACGAAGAGGAGGAGGAAGAGGAGGTGCCGTTGTGGCCGTTGCTGGTCGCGGAGCTGGAGCCGGCGGCCGTGGTTCCGGACGGGTTGGGCGGCGGTGCTCCCGGAGGTACCGCCGCCGCCGCGGGTAATTCCACAGAGGACGCCGGGTTCATGTGTCCCGGCAGCTCTCCGGGCAGCGACAGAGGTGCTACTTGGGACACCGGGGAGGAGAGAGTCCCCTGGGTATCCCCGACGCCCTCGTTGTTTCTCCACGCAACCATAGCCATATCGACCGTCTCCAAAGTTTGAGCAAACCCAACTTTCCCTGCTTTTTTACGCGATAATTAACGCACGGAGTTTCCCGGAAAAAACAAAAAACAAAACAAAAAACCTCTTGCGCACGCTTAAGGAGACTGCGACATTGTTTGACAATTTTTTAATCGAGCTCAGAATCGCGTTGGGCAGCAGAGCCCGACTGTTAAAACAGCAAAGAATGAACAGTCACCCGGTGGGAATCCGAAAAGACAGCTTCATTCAGACCGCTCTCGTGCGCTGTAACATCCACAGATGAGGGCTGGGGGTGGGTGGAGGGGGGGATAACAGCCGAAATCCGCAAGGGGAAGCAATCTTATTCCAAAAAACACACACAATCTGATCCCTTCCGGTCTGTGTGTCCAGCTTTAATAAACAGAATGCCGTGCGAGCAGGTCCTTCATCTGAGATGGAGTCACCGGACCAGGCTTTCCAGACGCTCCCTGCTCTCCCGATCAGTCAGAAGTTACATTAAAAAGACAACGGTGGAGGGAGAGAGAGAGAGAGAGAGAGGGGGAGAGAGAGAGAGGAATAGAGAGAGGGGGTGGAGGGTTGAAGAAGAGAGAGGAGGCGGGAGGGGGGGGGGTTGATGGATGATGATTTTGATGATGCTTCGCAGAGTGTTGGAAAGTGATGCGTCCGCACGTCACTGACTCGATTACGTGCGCTTGGGGCGGAGTTAAGCCAAAGTAGAAGCTGGTCTGCGAGCAGCCGCGAGGGGGATCGCTTGAACTTGTGGAGCGTGGGGGAGCGCCTGCAACCCCCCCTCCTCCCACTCCCACCTTCCTTCCCTCTCCACTATGTGGGCGTGTGCGCCGGGCCCCTTGTGCGCAGCCCTGGTGTCAGCTCACTGCAACAAAGACATATTCGGACCGAAGGCTCCCACTTTGCCGGTATTTGCCGGTGATGTTACAACTCCCCATCTGAACCGACACAGACATTCAAATCCCAACTGTTTGATGCCACCTAGTGTCTTCTAATTACACAGGTGCGGAGCAACTTAGATGAAGCCCTTTAGACTGGTTAGAAACAAGGTTTCATTTCATATAAATATTATACTTAATGTACAAGTTTGAAAGGGAGATATCAAATTATTCTGTGATTATTCATGAGACAGAAATCAATATTCAACAGTACTCGTAAATTAAGAATAACACTTTCATTCACCTTTTACCTCCTTTTTTCTGAAATGAACCTGTCTGCTATATTTATGGTGCCACACAGAGCTGTTTGCCATACAGTCAATATCCATTGGGAAGCTAGCCTTTTGGAACTTTGGATGATATTGCAGGAGAACAAATCAGTCCAAAAAATATCCCACAGGTATTGAAGCGGGTGGAGATCTGGTGACAGTGAAGCCCACAACAGCTCTTTAAAGCGGTATTCATACTCAATCAGACCGCTTTCTTTGGATTTAGTTCAGTTTCTCCACTCGTCAGCACACGTGTCTGACAAGATAGGGCTTTCCTCTTCCCACATCTCTTCCCATTTGATGTTCAGATGCTCCTTGGTACACTGACCAAACCAGGTAGATACAACAGTTTGCATTATGAAAAGATGTCTCTAACTGTTGTTTTTCCCTTCTTCTCCTGTCTGTGCTTCTGTACACTGTCTTCCTGATTGTCGTTATATTTGAGTTTCACTACATAATAAGCTCGTTTTGGGTGATTTATAGAATCCTTCCGATCCCCATGGAGGCCTTTGACAGAATGCTCTTACGATGTCATATCCATTGAACGGGTACTTCATGGGGCTTGCATGGTGGTGTGATGGCTAGCACATCTCGGCAAAAGGGTTCTTGGTTCGAATCACGGCAGGAAGGCAACCTTTCTGTTTGGTGTTTGCATGAGTGGTGTCCACAGTCCAAAAACATCCATGTTAGGTTAACTGGGGATTCTAATGGACCTGGTTATCTTTCTCTGACGTCTGGAAGGATGGGTGTTTCATGGCTGGGGCTTGTTCTACAAGGCCCAAGGCCAAAGGTGATGTAATGTTTTTACAGGCTGCCACAGTTTCGGTGACCCTATGGCCGCTCACACCCACGTCGAGCATCTCTCGGCCAGTTCGCAGACGGAAACATCCTGCAGTTTACGTCACTACCTCGTCCTTTCCCCTCCCATTTCATTACTGCTGATAACAGATTTAAGAGTTCAATGACGATCAGTCCAACTTGTTTCTTGCGATCCTGTGCCTGGAGCAGAAAGACGGCTAATTGGAGACAAAGTGAGGGGGAATTTTCCCAGGAGAGACCTGCTGTGAGCGGAAAACCACCAGGAAGTGACTGTTTACATCGCAGTGGGGGACTGCTCTGGCTCGCCGCACACAGACCTGCGGCACTACTGCGCTGGCTTCCTGACACTTTTGCTGAGAAGTGACGAAAGCTGACAGTGTTTAAATCCAGCTGAAAAACAAGATAGGTATGTTGTGCACTGAAGACAAGGCATACAGATGGCATGGTGGCGCACATTCAAATCTGCACAATAGCTGGCTCTGTAGGAGTTTGCAGAAGCCGCCTTGGCATTCAGAGTAACGCACTGCAGTCTAAGCTCATCATGATAATGAGATTAAGGAGCATGATCTAAAAGTGCACTGCACCTAGCAGACAGTGAGTAAGTCATGACCCGGGTCAGAGGCCAAGAATAGAAAAGGGAAAACCCTAAGTTGTAGCTCATTTTGTTTACCCGGAACTACACAGATTTTCCTGAGTTCCGCCTAATGTCCTCATGCTGTGAGGGATTGGAGAAAGAAGGGCGTGCATGAGGAATCGAGCAGGTGTCACGTCAGTCTGCATAAAACACCTCCTGAAATCCATCTGAATCCTGCAGTTGATGAAGTTAGTAGACTGTACAGTGTCCTATTAACAGGCCCGTCTCAGTCTGTAGGAATGCACTCTGGGAAATGTATGCAAACAAGCTAACAGTGTTTTTAAATGACTTTACATGATACTTTAAGCAAATGTGCAGTCAAATTAAATTGTGGTTTTTAAAGATAACAACCAAAACTTACTACAGCAAGAAACTATTGATTTGGCTTAATGTGACAAGAAACAGCAGGTACATGTGTACACATAGCTAAAATATTAATTCCCCCATTGCCCAGTTGGAGATTTAGAAATGCAGCAATTATTCTCCCATCAGAGGCCATCCTCTCGTGTTTGTTTTGTTTTATCTGAGGAGTGGAAGCTGAGCTGTGAGCCTGATCAGCTTGTTGCCGCTAACCCTGGCAGCCACTGAAACCAAACAGGAAACTTCGAGGCCCTTAAGCGGGGTCAGCTCCCAGCCACACCGCAACAACGGTTTGCCGCTGAGATTAGCTCACCCCGGCCACTGCTTCACCTGTGACCGCTGGACCGTCTCTCACCTTACATTAACCCCAGACAGCTGACCTATGACTCCTGCTGAGCGGCGGCAGCATTCCTCATGAGGCGGATTTCATGCTTGAGGAGCCCATTGCGTTACAGGTCAGCGTGCAATAACAACGCGTCGCCAACGGTCTTTCTATTTCCGAGCAAATTCATCCTGGCGAAAATGTAGGGATTCTTACTACATGTAAGACTTGTACAAAGTCCTACTTAGCCTTTGACCTCATTCGGGCTCAAACTCATTATCTGGGATGAGATTAACCCACATAGCTTAGTAAATGATCTAAATACATACAACTCAGCTTTGCACTGAGAAAGTCTGTTTTTACATTAAAAAAACAAATAAATCAATCAAATGTGTTTCACTGGGACCTCAAAGATATTTTTATACATTTTGGGGTTTTACATTGTATAAAAATACTATTTGAACTATAACCTAATAGCAGTTTTTTTTTATTTTACCAAAGAATAAGCAAACTGGTTTATTTTCGCTCTCAGCTGTCTCAGAACTCTTAGTGTGGTTGTTAATAGCATTGATTGTTAGCGTCTACATATTAAGAATGATCACATAACTGACAGCACATTTACAACGTATAGAAGATAGTCACAAAAATAACCAATACCAAAAAAAAATCAAAACCTCATAATTCACATTTCTAACACTCCAACATTCCCACGCGGGTAGTTTTTGGTGAATGGAATTGTGCTCATATGGCACTTTTCCAGTCAAACCGACCACTCAAAGAGCTTTACACTCACCCACTCAATGGATGGTACAACTCAGGGTTCAATGCCTTGCCCAAGGACCCTCTATCAGTGGGTAACTATTCTTTCCTCCTGAGCCTATGTAAATCCTAATTAAGCATTTGAAATATCGCTGTGTATCGTATCTGTTTTTCCTGCCTCTTGTCAGCGAGAAGCAGTGATACAGTGATACATGAATTCAGATGGCTGGAGGTTTGTCTGAATGACAGAGAAGCTAAAAAAATGGATGCTACTCATGATCAGATGACAAACTTGACTCTGATTCAAATAGTCGGCCCCTCTGCATTAGTCTACATTGAGGGAAAAGTAACTGGATGTAGGTTGCGTGTGTGTTTCTTGTTTAAACTGCCATTACAGAAGTGCTAAACGGGGGTATTCTGAAATGGTTGCTATTTGGCATTTATATGATGCCGAGTTGGGATTTTGCAATCGCTTCCCTACACCACCCACTGAGCAGTGATTTGCTTCAACATTTCAATAGGACACCCACAACAAAGCCTCAGACCCTACCTTTCACTCTTCTTCCAGAGCGTCATTCAAATCAAACACACTGCTATTGTCCTTCACAGGGGCACCGCTCCTCATTCTGAAAAACACTGTCCGGTATTTTGATTGATCACGTATTTGTGTCCATTCATAGAGGCCAGATTCATCATTCCAATTTGTCAAGATTCGGGAGTGCTGAGTTAATTATGTGCAGGGGAGCCACAAAAAAAAAGGGGGACAGCTTCCCGTTCAGACTCATCCGAGGTTTTTCCTTCCTCACCTCGCCTACAAACGAGCAGCCGAAGCTTCATTGAGCTACAGGAGCCGCTTGGCACCATGGGTAATTAGTGTGATGAATGCCTCAGCAGAACAAATAGTGGCAGTCGGCTGTGTCGCTCATCGTGTGGCTGTGCTGTCACAGCTCTGGGGCTGCGGGCTCATCAGGGTAATGGATGATTCCGCAACAGGACCATCTCTCAGCCAACAGTGCAACCGCAAAGCGAGAAGCAGAGCGTTGCGGGTTTCATTTTTTTTATTTTTTATTATTTAGACAGTGTACAGACGGTCCAGCTATCTTGAGGGGGTGGTGCTGGTTATGGATGTCAATTGTATCACCAGAGGTCACTTATTGTCACTGTCACACGTTTTGAGATATGGAATTTAAAAAAGACAGTTTTGATTCTGTAATCTTATGAAAGGCAGTTGTGTTTCTGGCATGTTTTTGTGATTTTCTTCCCCCCCTCAACCCACCACACAGTCTCTCAGGACTGTATATGTGGTTATGCAAACATCTTGATGCTAATCCTCTGAGGGATTCGTTTTTATGTAGAAACGTCCCTGCTGAAATGATGGATGACGTTATTAAATTAGGGGAGAGCAAGGACAGCCAGCCACTGGATTTGCAATTCACAGCCTCTTTTGAATATGAAGCTTTTTTTGCATGTAAGGAATAAGCATAATTGGGCCTTTGTCACTGAGTTCTTTTTAACAATGTCGGGGAACCTCGCAATAAATCAGGTTAGCTGTCCGAGCCACGTCACAGGACGAGGCATTAATCAGGTATGCAGATTCATCGTTTTGCATGCTGACAGTAAAAGTTCAAACCTCTTAATTTTCAAATGAAGAAAGGGCATACGGCTGTTTTGTCTGCTGGATAAACTGGGGGCCAGAGGCAGCCACAAAGGTCTGCCTGCTTTTGCTGTCATTTGAGCACAAGCTAATGGCTTTTGCTTACTCTGTGCCTTGACTTTTCAGCACCGGCGTGACAGCGAATGATACGGCCAACGTATGGCTGATTTCTCAGCCATGTCATCCGCGTTGCCGATGCTGAAAAGGTTGACTCCCGCAGACGGATAATCCAATAAGATGTGGGGGGAAAAAAGAAAAGAAATCAAGTGGAGTGAATTGTTTCGATAGCAGCGAGAATGAAGTCTAACAGAGCATGAGAGACAGGCGGGGTTGTGGAAAGGTTATTTCTGGGTTCAGGAGGTGAGATTTTGGGGATGCGGACACGTCAGTCCGGCAGAGTCCTCGGGTCAATGTGAAGACAAGTGGAAGACAGATTTCTCTGTCAGTATGCGCAGAGTCCACACGGGTTCAGGCTTTTGTCGTGAAGTCTCAAGTCATTGAGTCAATAGCCAAGGAACATGACACAACCTCTCACAGTCACTCGGCATCAAGCGGAACAGGGAATGGCATGCTTTCCATTTCACTGCACCGTGGCCCCGGCAAGACCCCGTCTGCGCTCGAGAAACCGGGGAGCTCTCAAACACAGGCTCGTGAGGCAAAGCTGAAACCTGGCCCCTGCACACGGACGCCCCCCCCCCCCCCCCCCCTCCCCACAAACAACGGCACACGACGAGTCGCCGGTCAATCCATAACTTTGACTATTATCTCCACAGGCCGCTGTGGCGTGGTGGGGAGCCCGTAGATAACCAGAGGGCTTAGAGCCAGGAAATTAGATCATGCTAAAGCGCAACACATGTCGATTAAATTGATGTCGGAGTTTATCTTTTTTCGCCACGTGTTTAGATGGGGAAAACAAAATGCTGCCTTTTCATACGATCTGACCGAGCACTGACCCAGCAAGCGGCCTTTTATCGCAAGCATACCTCTGCATGGAGCAAACATGAATTTAGACCACAATGCTTAATGAAACGGCAGATGTTGTCTTTGGCATCACCATCTGCCAGTGTTTTGCTTGTGTGGGCAACAGATTTCTTGTCAGCAAGGGCATTGTTTCAGTTTAATTTGATCCGCTGAGGAGTTCGGAAGATAAAATTAGATGATATTTGACAGTTGTTTTCCTAATCAAGACATTTAGAAATTAAGTGATGCTTTTAGAGAAAAAAAAGAAGAAAAAGATGCCATCACAGGAATCCATTGGTTGCCGAGCAGGTCAGTCAGAAGTCCACCGTGAGAGACTTGATCAAAAATCCAGCAATCACAATATATGATTTTTAACTATTTATTTGTATGAAACAGCTGCGAATAAGTATTTGAACACCTGAGAAAATGAATGTTAATATTTGTACAGTAGCCTCTGTTTGGAGTTACAGAGGTCAAACCTCTTTCCTGTAGTTTTTCACCAGGTTTGCACACACTGCAGGAGGGATTCTGGACCACTCCTTCACACAGATTTTCTCTAGATCAGTCAGGTTTCTGGGCCGTCGCTGAGAAACACAAAGTTTGAGCTCCCTACAAAGATTCTCTATTGGGTTTAGGTCTGGAGACTGGCTAGGCCACGCCAGAACCTCGATATGCTTCTTACAGAGGCACTCCTGGGTTATCCTGGCTGTGTTATTCGGGTCATTGTCATGTATGAAGACCCAGCCTCGACCCATCTTCAATGCTCTAAAGGAGGGAAGGAGGTTGTTCCCCAAAACCTCGCAATACACGGCCCCGGTCATCCTCTCCTTAATACTGCGCAGTCGCCCCGGCCCATGTGCAGATAAGCAACCCCTACGCATGATGCTACCACCCCCATGCGTCACAGTAGGGATGGCACTCATCATTCTTCTTCCTCCAAACACAGTTAGTGGAATTATGACCAAAAAGTTATATTTTGGTCTCATCTGACCACATGATTTTCTCCCATGGCTCCTCAGGATCATCCAAATGGTCAGTGGCAAACTTAAGACGGGCCTTGCATGATTTCACACCATGAATGCTCAGTGTATTATAGATGGTAACATTGGAAAGGGTGGTCCCAGCTCTTCTTTGGTCACTGACCAGCTCCCCCTGTGTAGTTCTTGGCTGATTTCTCACTTTTCTTCAGATCATTGAGAGCCCACATGTGAGTTCTTGCATGGAGCCCCAGTCCGGGGAAGATTGACAGTCACGTTTAGCTTCTTCCATTTTCTAATGATTGCTCCGACAGTGGACCTTTTTTCCACCAAGCTGCTTTGCAATTTCCTGGTAGCCCTTTCCAGCCTTGTGGAGGTGTACAGTTTTGTCTGTAGTGTCTTTGGACAGCTCTTTGTTCTTGGCCTTGTTAGCAGTTAGATTCTTACTGATTGTACGGGTTGGACAGGTGTCTTTATGCAGCTAACGACCTCAAACAGGTGCATCTAATTTAGGATAATAAATAGAGTGGAGGTGGACATTTTGATGGCAGACTAACAGGTCTTTGAGGGTCAGAATTCTAGCTGATAGACAGGTTTTCAAATATTTATTTGCAGCTGTATCATACAAATAAATAGTTTAAAATCATATATTGTGATTGCTGGATTTTTCTTTCTAGATTGTCTCTCACAGTGGACATGCACCTTCGATGACAATTTCAGACCCCTCCATGATTTCTAAGTGGGAGAAATTGCAAAATAGCAGGGTGTTCAAATACTTATTTTCCTCACTGTTGAAGCTGTTACTTCATATAGTTTTCCCTTTAGCATCGTGGCTCTCAGGGTTGTTTAGCATATTTTGGTACAGATGGTTACCTCCATAAAGAATGACAAGATATAGAGTATTTTCATGCCTAGTGCTAATTAATAAATGCAGAAAGATAAAAATGCTACAAAATGGAACATCTGTCCCTAAGTTTGTAGAGCAGCTCTTTGATACATTGATAGCACTGAAGATGTAAAAACTGCTTAATTGGTGTAATAGCATCAATATATAAATGACATTTAATCAGTGGGAAAACAGCTTGTAATCATTAGGCAGAAACAGGCCAAAATAAAAACAAAAATAGTATATTTAATGTATTTACAATAAACATACAATCATGTAATCTTCTCCAAGAAATATACATAACTTAAAGCTTTTAAAATATAAATTCATGAGGTTCAACGGAAGAAATAAAAATAAATCTTGATAAGCAACAGGGCATATCTAAAAATCTGAAGTGAATCTTTCAAAATATAGGTGATATTTTCTTATTTCAATGCCCTTTTCTGTGTCAAAGGTCCCCTTCAAAGAGCATTGATTTTCACGCACTATATACCACCCACAACATAAGCAAACGTATCAATCTAAATCCATAGCTAACATTGTTAGTACAAGGTTTCATTTTAAAGGCAACATGCTGCCTAAAGGCTCAAACCAAAGGATTATATGCCTGTGAAGAGTTTCCTGTATGTCAGAAAAATGATCAGGCGCAATAAAAAGATCAGTGGCCATATTTACAGTTCGTCTGGTACTTGTTGGCAAAATGTTGACTTGAACACCTCAGATATGACGCATTTGCATATGGGGCATGTTTTGGCAGAAAACTCTTCACAGGTCAATAATCTAACCACTGTTCTGCTATAAAAGTCAACCACAAAGCAAGGCCATCAAAAGAGAATAATGAGAAAAATAGAATGTAAAAAACATTTACGCTCTCATGTTATTTTTCTCATCACAAGGCAAAACATCTCAAGCACATATAGGTGCCAAAATAAACAGTCCTGTTGCCACTGGTGGGAAACAAGGTCAAGCAAGTGCCATCGCACTTGCAAGTACATTTGACACACCGAGAATATGTTGGCTTCTTTTTCGCGAGTGTTGAATATTACAGTGCACAGGTTGATACGGCACAACACGGCTCCAATCAGAACGTCTCAGAGAAGAGCTAAACATCTAGGCACTGTTGCAGGCCTGCAATCTGTGCAGTTTGGCTAATTTTCTGAAATCAAACTTTACTACTTTACAATGTCAGGTTGTAGCTCAACATTGGTGCCATTTAATTCAAGCAGTTTTTTCAATTTTTTTTCATTATTTTCATTTATTCTTTTATTCAATATTGACCAGCTTTGCCACTAATGGAAAGTGAAATTAATCTAAATTAGACAAGAACTTCACTAGTAGAAAAGTCCTACACATGAATAATTATTACATCCTAAATAATACCTTTTTTTTTTCTAGACCAATATACAATGTTTCATAGGCAATATCTCTCTGGGACACATTTGTACGATATGGTGGAAAAAAGTGGGATATCACAGAGAGGCTACAAACAGCTGGAGGAAGTGCTCCTTGCTCCAGTGTGTTGAGATACAGTTCTCTGCGGGAAGTCACAGAACACTTGTATGGTGTCACTTTGGCACTTGTATGGCACTACTATGTACAGAGGAGTCAGCACTACGCACGCTGGATGTTACAGAAATCAAAGACAGAGCCACCTCTGGGAGGTTGTTGAGGCGGAGATGGTATCCAGATGTTACTTATCATTCTGCTGTCTGTCAGAACCTTAGAAACGTCTTTTTAATTGTTTTTTTACTTCATGGGCCTAGCTGTTTTAAATGTGGTACTGCCTCATATGTTTAAAAGAGGGGTATTGCGTATTTATGATTGCAAGATTCATATAAATGTTTAGGTCCATTTAGGTTTAAGCATAAGACTATCCAATACCTGTTTATGACAAATTATATGAAATTCCATTTTATGTCTAGAATAATCTAGGACGTTCACCTGATTAAAATGCAAGACAAACTCAAATATGAGAACTGAAAATATTGAATATGCACAATGATATATTTTCAAAAACAATACATTTTGATATATTATTGATATTAACTCGCTTTAAAAAAAAATCTAAATTGAAATACAATACTTATGAGTTTTGAGGGAATAATGGGCGCTTCTTAGTATATTCAAATGACCTCCAGGAGCCAAAAGGCAACCTGCTAAAGCAAACATTTTGATTTGAAGCTAGTTTTGTTCAAGCTAAAAAAGGTAACTAGTTCCCGCCTTTTACCAAAGCTAGGTTTACTGAATGCTTTTTGCTTCCAGGTATTCAGGGTAAAACTGAAATCTTGCTGGTCAGTGACCTAAAAAGACTAGAAATCCATCTTCTAGTCTGTGAGCAAGAAAGCATTAAAGTGTTTTCTCCAAATTTCAAAAGTACACAATTTGGAAATTAAATCTATTGTCATAACAGATATTTTGATTCATAACACATCATATACATCATATACTTTAAGTATAAGAGTAAGCTTAGATTACATCCTTATACATTTTCTGTAAAAAAGAAAAAAAAAAAGAAGTTAAGTTCAACTTCCTAGAAAAAATTATTTCAACCACTTCAGTGTGAGTGATAGTCAGCTGAAGTTTGAATGGAAATAAAAGAGCTACATCACAATGGTATGAATTATAAAGCTATTCCATGGTTGAAAATAGAATTAGGAGGCCATTAGTGATAAATGCATGTTTATCCATTACAACAGCCGACAGCCGTCTGAGCATTTGGGTGTCTTCATATGAAAAATCTAAAAAATATGTTAGTTTCTATGCATGCATTTCCAGCATGCGTTTAAATGAACTAATCCCGCCAGGACAATGGGTCCGCTCACACAGCTAGCACACCACAATCCACGTTGGCCAAGGTGTTCTGCTAAAGAGTCTTCGCACTCGGAGTCTGCATGCTCATAATATGAGCTTTGCTGCTGATATCGGCGCTAATGCGGAGGGCAGCCTCCCCCACAGCCTCCACCTGTTTTGTCCTACAAAAAGCATGTGAGACTTAATCGCAAAGTCCCCTGCATGTTGTGATCAGGTTGCTTCGTAATCCATGCATTACTGCTGCAGGGGGCTTTCCCACAAGTATTGCAACACTTAGCTCAACTGCATTTCTGTATCTTTTTTCAAACAACTTTGATTCTACTGGTGGGAATTATAGTGGTGATACAGTGAAATGAGTCACAGATAGTCATCTAACTGACATGTCACAGGTTTGGTTACTCATATATTGTTTTACCCAAGTCATAATGAATGGGCAATAGAAATGTCCGTTTTAGTAGTTTAAGGATACGCTTCAAGTTTGTATCTTTAATATGACTGAAATATGCACTTTTTCTTAAGAAAGAAAAAAAAAGCAAAACCACGTGGTCCTGCGACTCTGAAAAAGAGAAATACTGTCGTCCTACTCCATTCATACCAAAAAATATCAACCAGTAAAGGGATAGTTCTTATTGTAACCACAGTCCTATATTTAAGAAAAACGCGAGAAATTGCTTTCGCATTAACGTAAATCAGTCTGTTGCAATCCACGTCTTGTGGCAACGTTGCCTCAGCTCCTACAAATGACTGTCTGCAGAAAAAAAAAGTTAATGTATTGTAAACGTCACCTCTCAATCATCTATTAAGACACTGATTAATTAATTTAGTTAAAGAACTTTGAGAACAACAGAATGTAATTCCCTTACTTTTCTCACTGTGCAGTTATAATGGCTTACAGACCGATTTTTGTTTTGAGTGAAAACTGAAGGAAATTAGGGCCTGTCATTAACACACTGGTGTGTTAAGAATCACTTAACTCTATAAGGGGTCCAGACTGTCCTATGGCAGTATGGAAACGTGTTCATTCTTATACTTTTTGCATCTTCTGGTAACCAAACCTGAGAAATACTACAGAAAAGTAATCTTTCTGCTAAAGTTTGGGTTTAATAGTAAATTTGATTTTGGTTTGTTTCAAGAAGTTTTTTCCCCCTTTTTTTTCCCTTTACTGTCAGTCTTTATGTTGCTGTCTAAGAGGGGGGAAAAACATCCCCGAAGAAAAAAAACTAATGTTTGTATGACAGCTTATGCCTCCAGCTGACTAAATCGGGGTGTTACCAATTTGTTGGGCACATCTCTTCAATTCTTTTTCACATGTCAGATGTTTTGAATGAGAAGGAAATGAGGCCCCTAACTGAGGACACTTCTCTGAACGGAGACGACAAAGAAGCATTAACGTACACGAATAGCTCCAGTCTGCTCTCTGGGTGCAGAGCACCACTATAAAACCGACTCCATGTTGTCAGACATCTCTTGGTCCTCCAGGTTGTATATGAACTTTGTCCTGTTGGTGGGGTTCTGGGTGATCTCCTTGCCCAAATTGTCCAGTGTCACATTGGACGCAAAGAGTTCGGTCGGCGTCAGGTACCCCTCGTTGTTCTTGATGTACTTCCTGTAGTTCTTCCTCAGACACTGCCACGTGGTGGCGTACAGGACAAAAGCGGAGGACTTGAGAACGATGGCGATGCTGACGTACAGATGCCTGTAGGCCACGTTGTCGTACAGCATGCAGGCACCCTTCTCCCCACAGACGGAGCTCCAGAACAGACAGGTGGAGTCGATGCCCATGCCGAAGATCAGAGGAGGCGGGATGAAGCCTGGAGCAGCAGGGGGATTGCGAACAGACACGAGGTCAGAAAGCCAAGAAGTGCACCAGTTTGAGCTCAAGTACAAGCTGTATTTGGGACGACAGAGTGATGAGGTTCATTCCGAGCAAGGTGAAAAATTGCTCTGGCATTTACATCAGAGTAAAACTAGAGAGCAACAGCCTGTAGCACAAGCACAGCAGAGACGAGAGGGGCTTTCTTCCGTACGCTCACCAATACAGACCTGTGAATGCTAAACAGCATGAAAGTATGTAGAGGTGCAGTTTCTTACCTATCAGCCTTAATAGCAGGAACAGAACTCCCAGAGCATATGACTTAAGCTCGGGACTTACAGTTCTGTGAAGAAAGGAAAGGAAAGCAGTTATGTAAACAGTAACCATTGGCTTTTTGAAAATGTTAACTTTTTATCATGGATTTATTGCAGAAATATCCAACTATTTCCAAAATTATTATTATATAATATGTCAAAATAGAAATTGTTATAACTAGGCCAGAACTGCCGAAAGCTGCTTTAGTAGCCTGAGATCAGTACGAACTGATGAACCGCCATGAACTGTTAACTGCAGTTGGCCATTTGTAAAATAACACTGGCAGACATTTACCTTATGTGTCCTGGGTGTGTTGACAGTTCTCTAAAACAAGATTTATTCACATCCACTTTTGCGGGGTTCAAAGAAACATAGTAGGTTTATGAAATCTACTGAAAAATCGACTGAGTTGGCAATGAGTTAACAGCTAAAAACAAAGGCTTTAATAAACATTTTTGTTACAGCTTTACGTGATCACTTGTGGTTATATGAAAACAGCATTTTAAGCCAAATAATCATTTTAAAAATGCTGTCTTCAGTCATCCATGGGGCCAAATGTTACCTATAACACAGGTATTAGTATAGACTAAGAATTTCACAATCAGTGTATCCATACTCAGTTAGAACAAGGTGATATTTCATCTAGTTACCGCCCTTATGACATTTATAAGTGGCGCAAATTGTAAAGGGAGAATGGCAGTTTCAATATTCAAGAAAGATAATATTCGTTAATATGAAAATATATGTCAAACCTTTAGACGATATGTCCCCACAAAGGTGAAATCTAAACACATTCTGATTTGTCGTATGAACTACAAATATGGAACGAGGGCTGCACTGAGACAAGAAGACTGAACACTGTAAAATCAACGGTTAATCATTGTGTTGATTAATTTAGTGCAGTATGTAATGCAAAAACCCCACAATGATGAGACCACCGCTTTGCTTTACTGAACTAGAATATTTTTTTATAGGAGTTCCACAGATAATTTTCATTTCTATAAAAGCTTCAGTAATTCAGAGTTGTGCTAATCAACTGCACATTTCGACATCGCTGGCTTCTTATCACCAGTATTGATTATGTCAACCACCATCTAAAAAAAATGAGTACTAGAACAAGAGAAGACATCTATACATATCTGCTCCATTTCCCGCTCTGGGCTGAGATGTTCTTAGTTTTTATGTGTGGCACAGCATTCCCCCGTGTATTCCCTCAGTGTTTCTCTGCAGGACTGTCACCATGATTAAGCACTGTTCACTGCTTCAGGCTTCCTCACAGCCCCCAACAGCTCCAAATATCAACAGCTCCCTCTTGTGGGCAGCTGCCACCATACCTGATGAGGATGATGACTGAGGGGGTCTGAGCCATGGCTCCGATCATGCTGCACACACAGATGACACACAGGAAGGTTAGGAAGGCCTGCTGGCAGCCAGGACTGGGGCACTTTCCCGGTAAAGCCACTGCCTCCTCGCTGTTGCTGGATATACATGTGCAGCTGCTCAGGTTCTGTTGCAAAAGATGAGAAATTGCATTGTTCTGACCATCTAAAGCCAACTTTGCACGCATCGTTCGTATTTTTTTTTCTTGTCAATCATCGTTTGAAGGGTGTTTTTGTCTCCACTCACTGGTTTGGTGCAGCCGGCAAAGCAGGCTGAGAGGTAGGTGACTCCATTAGAGCCACAGACGGGGCTGACTGACGCCGTGTAACAGTTACAGTTGCTGATACACGCCGACTCGGGCTGCTGCCAGGATAGCAGGGTCCTGTGTCAGTAGTCAAAGATCACATTGCACATATAGTTTACACACTGCTCAAACATGGAGACAAAACAGGACCAATGTTGCACTGCATGCTCGTATTATTTGGCAGAGTAGCTACAGTACTACGGCGGCCCTACTCGTTGCTGTAGGCTACAGTGACCCCGGCAACGGGTCCTGTGTTGCACCCCAGGAAGAGAAAGGAGACGTAGCAGGCAGTGGACACCAGGTTGACCAGCATGGCCATGCGGACGGCACCGAGAGCAGACAGGTTCAGCTTCTTAACCAGGAGCCCTCCGAGGAAGATACCCAGACAGGCACAAGGGATAGCCGTCATACCTGGAGAGGGAAGGATGAATATTGTTTCCAGCTTTCTATGATGTTGCACTTATCGATTGCAAACACTTTAAGTGTCCTCATTTTTTCCCTATTGCTTGTGATATTCATTAAAGGGGAGAAGAAGGTCTTAAAACCTCATTTTGAATCAAATCTTGATGAGCAGTAAATCCCTGCACACAAGGACAAAAAAAAAGGACCCAAAACAGTCTCGCTCATGCTTGATGGGACTGAGGTAACCTGCTGCCCGGCTGGATGTCTCCACTCATTCCCGCCTTGTCTGCATCCTGCTGTCAACAATAAAAAACCCCAGGCTAAAAACCAAGTCGGAAAATGTGTGAGCACTGCAAGTTTCAGGCTGCAGTGCTTAGTCATACAGTAAATGCACGTTTGTTTCGGGAAACGTGTGCTTGAAAAGTTGCTTGATGATATTGGGTTTTGAGAGGAAGCAGTAGGTACTGTCCTCTATCACGTGGAGGAGGGTCTCTACATTAGCGCTTTGTGGGGTAAAGTGTTATTGACGTTGAGTTTTAAGTTGTTGCTATCGTGGTATTTCCTAAGCTAATGGAGTTTTCCTTCCAGGATATTTGAAACACTACTAGGTGTGGATTGTACCTAAAGCCCAGCCTAACCTTTGGTATAAAGTGCCATGTTTATTGTATACTCAGCTTTCCAGTGTGTTAGACAATGTTGGTAGCTCTATAGCACACGGCTTTTAAAATAAACCAAATTTTCTCTGTTAGCTTTTATTGGTAGAGGCCTATTTTTGCAAGGCTGAGACCCGTTATGTTTGTGATCTCTGATTGACATATCTTTGTGCTGTCCCTAACAACTCATTACTGTGAAGCATTGCGTCTTTGAATCTCCAAAACTCGACACAGTTTAAACGTTATTTTTCTACTGTTCTCACTTAAATGTAGCTAGTGTCTACGGGGGGTTTCAGAGCAACACTTATATGCTATAGGCATAGGTGAACTGTAAACCTCCTGGCTCTTGGTCACACGCCGGTGCCCACTCTTCACCTATTATCAACCAATGTGCTAAGGAATGAGAAGAACAAAACCCCTTCGTTCAGACAAAAGGTTCATCCGGGTACCTAGCAGCTGATTTGCTGAAGAGGTTGTAAGGTTGAACTGCTGCTCAAGGTATTTTCCCAGGAAGGCAGCAAATCCAGCAACAACGGCAATCTCCATACAGGCTGCCAGTGTGATGCAGCTGAACACCGGATTGGACAGAAGGTGTCTGGTTACCCTTGGAATCACTGAGTGATCGTGACAAAAAAGAAAAGAAAAGACTGTTAAAACTTTGGAAATTTCAAAGTGGTAAAAGAAGAAGGGGATGCAGATTGTGAGAATTATTTACTGCACCAAAATCTCTTAATCTCCCTACCTCTCAGATGCTCCCAGACTGAGAGTCCGCTGTTCATATCGAAGCCATGAATGGCTCCGTTGGGTTTTGAGCCCGGGTACTCAACGGTCATAGAAGAAGGCAGCATGGCCTGCTCACTCTCCCCTCCAGCATCCATGTCTTGCTCGTCCAGAGCCTGGGGAAAACCGAACATGAAGAGGGCCGACAGGAAGAGTAAGGCACCGCAAAGGAGGAAGCCGCCCCACCACGCCCCGATCCAGCGAGGGTCATCTGGGGTGATGTCCAGCTTACCTGGACAGAAGGAAAGATCACACAGAACAGTCACTAGGATAGGTCTGGGCGGATAGCGCTATTTCTATGTCACTCTATGTTATTTAAAGAAAATACAGATAATAAATAGAAGATAATGACTTTTTCCGATACATTATTCCCTTAGTTTCATCAAAAGTAGTATTAGGACAACTCCTGCTTCCACCCCGTCTATATATATACTTACTGGTGTCGATGAAGACAGCATCAACGTAGACTTTGGTACAGACAGAACCTAAGATGAAGCCACAGGCTGGGCCGAACACTAACGTTGAAAATAAGATACCTGGAAGAAAAACAAAGGTGGGGCATAAAATGAAAGGTTAGCAGGATCCACCAAGTGAAAAAAACAAAATAACTACCCATGATCAGGCCACAATAACCGGTTAAATCGAAAAATAATCATTGCATTTTCTCTAATAGTTCACCAGAGGGCAGCATTGCACCAGATCAGGGCTTCAAGGTCTTCGGTACCCCATTCAAACAAGAACCACCCTGCCATCCAGATCTCTTGTTTTTGCTAAGTTCTCTGTATCATCTGTAATATGTTCCATGTCTGTAAATGTCTCCTGCACACACTAATTTCCTGCCAAAGGGTTCCACGGTGTAATTGATCTGTGAGTAGATTATCCGGCAGAGTCATAAATTATCAGGCAGGAAATCGGTTCTTAGTATGAGAGCATCGGGGACAGGAAGCCACTCATACTGCAGCTCCGGATGATGATTGACTGCAAAAGCCTCCCTGATTTGGCAGAGGCTGAGCGGTGTCCATAAAGCATCAGGCTGAGCGTGAATGTGTGTGTGTGTGTGACTGGTTTGTGTGTGCGCAGGTCTTAAGTGGAACAATAGCGGCGAGGCGGGTGAGCCTGGCCGCAAATCAGGAGCCCAAAGCAGAGCCGGCTCTGCTCCCTCCTGATAGAGCAAAAGGGCCAATCATCGATTGCTGATGATATGGCCAGCCGTTGGTTTTTTTCATTGTGGTCTGGTGATCTAAATATTCCCACATATGGTATGATTTATCAGTACATAAAGAAATCTGTCATTTGGTCCTCACCAGGTCTATAAAATTAACTACCTAAATCTTCACATGAACAAAGCTTATTGAAAACACAGATGTATCAAGTAAAAACTGGTAGAATAGTATAATTGACTTAAAAGATGTCCAAACTGAGTGAAAAAAAAAGGTCGACATTCATGCTTTTTTAATAGCTGCTGTAACACGAGAATTTTGCCCTGCGGATTGAAAAAAAAGGATTCTGATTCTAGTTCTGAAATGATCCAGAATATGTTTCAGCTTAAATAGAAGCTGTTCAAAATCCCCACATGCCTAGGAAATAAGTCCTAATAGTTCCTTTAAAAGCCCCTTTCGCACCGGATACATTTCACCTTTCTTCATAGAAAAAAAAAGGATATAAGTCTGTCTCACAATTTCTTACAGTGGAAAGTATTGAAACACACATGATTAACTGATCATCGTCCTGGAACATTCAGGTGTCTGGTAACGCAGTGTTAAAGAGGAAAGACATCAACAATAATCTTTCCATCGTTCTAGGGTGAGTAATATTGTTCACAAGTGAAAATTGCTAATCCTCCCAGGAGGGGTGTGCCATTAATTTCTCTAAGAAAACGCTATACTAAGAGAAACGGCAAGATTTTCTCATTATAGCGTTGGTAGTAGTGTCATAGTGTCAGTGAGCGTGTTAATAATGTAAGTTCACTACAGAACGATTAAAATAGAGTAAATGTTTGCAGGAGGAAGCTGCTCTGAAACAACATGGCAGCAGGGCTTAGGTTTAAAATGCTGCATCCATGCAAGCTGTCAGACATTGGTTAAAAAAAATTCTTAGAAAAGACGACGCCCAAGTGGAGATGTACACAACACCTTGCTTGAAGAAAACCCAAAACAGAATATCAGCACAAAATCCTGTATGCTTGATAGTAGGGCTCATTTTAGAGCAAAAGGATGACTCATGGAGTGAACTAAAAAAAATCCAAGGTCTGATAGATTTCTCAAGCCAAAGGTAAGACAATAAACCCACTGCAGAATAAGCGAACCAGGGAGGGGCCAAAATGTGGTCAAAGTCCTAAACCCAAATTAAATGCTGTCGTGGGACCTTGAAAGCCTGCAAACCTCAATAAAATGAGGACGCCTCTTTGTTTTGTGTTTGGGGTTGCTATCAACTTTCTTCACACATCAAATCTACCCAGCATTTTTTTTTGTCAGATCCCATTTTTCATTCTGGAGTAGTTGAGATGTACTAGAAATAATTCTAATTAGGATATGCAATGAATTGACCTATAACGGCTTCTCAAAACCGAATTCCCAGTTCAGCAGGGTCTTTTTTTTACCCCTAATAACTGCTAAAAAGTCTAAAGACAAAAGAGGTTTGCTATTACAGCTGAGTCACCACCTTTCATTCCTTTCTGGGGCCAGTTCCCACACAAACACTAGACTAAACAACTCACTTAGAACTTATTACACCCCACACAGGGGTAAGGGGACGGACTCAGGCACATGCACATGGCGACTGCAGGAGACCAGCAAAAATGTTGCTCCCCCAGTCTATCTGACCTAAAATGCCCTTAATTTTAAAACTATGTCCAACCAGCATTGCTATTACATGAGACAAGAGACAGTTAAGTATCTAGAGCAGCTTTCAGAGTGAAACATCTGATGATTTGTTATGCCGTGACAAAAAAGGAGATAATCCTACAACAGCTGTTAGACGCACACCAGCCTGTTTTCTGGACTGAGCAGTTTCGAAAGGCTGTGTGTTAAAAAATATGAGAGAAGCCTCACGGAAATAAAAATGTGTGTGTCGAGATGTACCAAAGCAGTAATCGCAGTGTTAAAGTGAATGTGTGGCACTTCAGCATGAATGACAGCATCAGGAATCTGAAATCTGAAATCCGTTTGAACACAATGTGTTCTCACATTAGAAATATAGCCCAAACTTTTCAATTCAAACATAAGACTATAGCCTAGAAAAAAACCTTAGAATGATCATACAATGAAAAAATAGACATCTCTATTTGTATTTCATCTTAAACATATAGTGTCACTTATTAAAAAAACAAGCCTGCACAAGAAGCAAACCGCATGTTTTTTTTTGTTTTTTTTAGATGAAACAACAGCAGTTAGATTGTTTGATTTATAGACAGACAGACAGAGTGCATCATACATGGTGTTTATGAACATGATAAAATGCCTTAAACTGGTAACTGTTACTTCGAGAAAAAAAACAATAACATCCTTATTTGATTGGACTTCATTTTAAACCACACAAGTGAGACATTTAGCTAAATTACAATGTCAACAAAAGAATATAAACAGCCAAAAAACATAACACCACTATAAGGTAATTCTCCGGTGATGGCCCTGGATTTTGCTTTTTGTGTCGAGATGACATTGTACGCAGCATGTCTGAGCTGCTCTTTTTTGCAGGAACGTGCTGTTTTGTCCTTGGTTTCACACACATCCTGTGATTTTGATGTACTGCAGGTGTTTTTTTATTTCTTGTCATTGTATATGCACCATGTGTATGTTATCAATAATGTCTATATAAGTAGGTGTAGTAAAGGGTCTCTAATGATATGATAACAGAGCATTTCTGCAACACACAACATTTTTTTAAAGCATGGGCAAATCTGTAATGACATGATAAAAGAGAGTGTGTAATAACTTGCCGCTTCATGATCCAAAATGACCAAAACTGAGATTACTCATTTAAGCACAGTCACTCTGGGCAGGCTTTGAGCTTCAGGGGTGGGTTAGTGATGTATGCAGACTTCTGGCTGCTTGGGCCTGCAGAGGAAATTACTGACAGCTGCTTCTTATCATAAACTGTAAAAGCTTTGACAGTACGGGCTTGCAGAGGCTGAGCTTCACTTGACTTTCTCGCTTATGCATGTACATTTGTGTAAAAATAATAAATGTTTAATGCACCAAAAACTGGGGATTAATATCAATTATATATTACCATACAGTACCAACAATGTGCTTGTAAACACCTCGTAATATTCTAAAATTGTATCTAAAAAAAAAACTGCATAAAAGCACTTTTCTTTAACCGGTGGTAATAAATGCAGCAGTGGAGAGGTCATACTGTGGGGACTGAGGCTCCTCTACCTGGTTTCGCTGCCTGCACATGAATAATTTCACACTCAGACTCACATTATGGTCCAGTTCAATCACTGGCTCTCTGAACGTTGGCGAGCGCTCTCCTGAAAGGTGCTCGTATAAAACAACCTGGGCCGGACAGCGCGTGCTGAGTCAGAGCCCATTCCTTCCTCCGCTGTCCTACAGTGGAAGAGTAATAACCCCGGCGGAGTAAAAACATTTTTGCTGCAGTGGACTCGCGGCCTCGCACCGCTTCATTACGCGTATTACGGCGATGAATAGAGGCCGCGATATGATGCAAGCGGAGAGAAGCTGACCGTGTCGGTTAAAGAGCCGGACTGCACGCTTGCTTTGTTCCTGCTGTAATCCACCACACTGTGGACACTTGAAGGTTCATACAACCTAGCATCTTCACCACGATTGTGCCATGACTTAAAACGTGCTTCATTACTGATGCATCTAGCTCTGTGGAGTAAATATATGCTTTGCCTGTTGACATAAGAATGGCGTCGGTGGCTTCAAAGTCGCCACAGATGCCTCTTTTTCTCTAGAACCCAAGGTTATTCAGTTAATTCATTTGGCTCTGAAGCTCTTCATTCATTCATTCATTCATCCATTCATATTTCATGCCTGCTTTTTTAAAAATAATCTGTGTTGGAGAGGGGGATGGAGGCTGAGGATGGGGTGAGGGGTGGATAGGTCACTGGCTCTCGTGAAGGGCCATAAAACGTAAAGCATTTGCCGACTCACGTCTCAGGTCAAACTGAGGTCTCTCTTTACCCAGAATGCATCATTTGGAGTAAGGATCCACATTTGCAAGGTCACTGCCCACGTTTGAACCGGGAAACACTCTTTCTGGGTGCACTCAGGAACTGACACCACAGAGCCGGCCTGCAACCCGACAGAGCTGCTCCTGATTGAATCTGCGGACGTTTTCCAGGCCGTGGTAATGACATTTTGTTCATTTTTGCTCCGCGAGTTAGTACATCTGCACCAACCCAGAGCGCCAACAGCGGCTGCAGACTCTGAGCCTGGCACCGGGCCAGTGTGGTAAGTATTACATGTTGTTTTGAGTAGGTCGCCGTTACTCGCGAAAAGCTGTCATTTGGAGGTTAAGTAGGAGTTATTCAGTTAGGAAGTCGCTTCATACACATCAAGAAACAAACCTTAATCGTATTTAAAAATCATGAAAGGCTATTAGAGCCATATTTAATAGAATTATATTTGAGTGAAATATGAACACACGTGTTGTATACGCTAACCTGAGTGGTTGACTAAAGCTCCACTTAGAGATTAAAAGTTGGCTGTGCCTCTCAATAATGCCTCGTAACCCACTACGTTTGTGTTTTTTCAGTAACTTAGCTTAATGCTTTTGCTTCCCCTAGTTTCTTCGTACTTCAGGACGATCAGGAGGACGCTCGTGCGCTGCAGCCTTAAAGTAAAGACGATTTAGACACCGACCTATGACTGATGCGTGCCCGAGGACCTCAGCCATCGCTTCAAATCACCCTCACACGCGTGCATTTTCTCTCTGCAAGAAACAGGCTCTCACATCAAGCAGAAGCCACCGGCACAGCAGGTTCGCGTGGAGTTGGCTGGGGACATGGTTTTGTACTTTGTAAAAGCAGCACCAGGTTTCGGGGGCTGCTAAAAAAGTGATACGGAATCATTTAACTATTCTTCCATTGCCTTTTACATTTAGTCTATTTCAAAATGAAGGCTGTAAATAATCTAATGGCACCGATATAAGCATACCAAATGCAGCACTTATGATGCAGCAAAGTAGTGGAGTGTTACAAGGACTGCAATAACAAACTGTAGCATCTTATTAAACCTGACTGAAATCACTGTCACCAATCATATAACAAGTGATCAAACTAAGCACACTTATAATGAATAAGGTTTTATGTTCGCATCGGTGTGAAGCTTTTGACACTCAAGAATTTGGTTCTTTACAGGTTTTGATTTGAGCTTCATTTAACAGCAAAACCACAAATAAATGTGTGTAATCAAAAATTAAACACAGTCTTATAAAAACAGCTTGTTGTGCATTGCTCAGCGCTGATAACTTTAAGTTCCCTTTTCTGCATGATGTTATCAGTCTCTCCCACTACTTTGGAAAGAATGACCATCCAGATTTTACAACATTGCCTCAATCTTCCAAATGAGCATCCCACAATGTTGTGAGCTCACAAAAAGACTAGAAGATCTACATCTTGAATTACTGAGATCCTTTCACATGTAAAGCAGAACCTATTTGGGGCTACAGGAGTTTTTCTTTTCTGAAGAACAGCATGAATACCCTAATAGCTCCTTCTTTGTTAGACCCTCATTGAGGACTACAACAGATTGAAGTCTTAGTTGTTTTAGGCTATCATTCAAGCGGTAGACAGCAATCAATAATCCAATTACAATCTGGTTCTGACATTCCCATCCACTCAGCTAAAGCACGGGTTAGTCCCCTCTACTGGCAGCCATTTTCTCCACACATAAATGCTTCGCAATACATTTAAGCCGAGGAAAATTTTTCAAAACATCTCTGAAGACGACATCAGATGGACTGATGCGGAAAATACAACCAACGGAAATTGTTGAAAACTTGTTTCTATCAGAAACAAGTTTCCTATGGAATTTCCAAGATTCTCCAAGATAAATTCCTTTATCGAGGAATTTTCTTTGTCATCAACAGGATGAATATTTATTTTTAAGGACATGCATGCCTCTGGATGGATGAAAAGCACTTGACATCACACATGCATAACTGATTAGACTGTATGCTGTAGTAAATCACTTCTGCATTATTGATAGTTTTAAATGAACTTTTGTGTTCCTCTCATCTGTAGACGGGCTCAAAAATCCGAAGATCCCTGTATCGTTGTACTAACATGCTGCTACAAAAACACAACGATTCTGTTGCTTGCAATAATTAGGACAGACACTCATACTGAATAAAACACATCATGATGTGCTTGATGCTGGGACAAAGCTCATTTGACATTTGAAATAGAAACAGATTGTTGTACTGAGTCAAATAAATTCATGGTAATGCGAAAAGGTTTGTACGATGACAACAGTGTAGCATTTCCCAGATTACACTTGCGTATACCCTGTGTCCTCAGTCTCTCATTCAGGCGGTATTGATCCCTGTCGCTGAAGATGTGGCCTCTCCTTCGATCATCTCATTTGTTGTTGAGCCCATGGAGAGCTGCATAGTTTAATATTTAATCGTCCGGATGGATGTTTGCTAAACTGATCTTAACTGTTTCTGTGTCACTTTTGCATTATTGATGAGTTTTCCTTACAACAACGGTGCCTTCACACTACAAGCTTGTCCGACAATGCCGCTACCTTTAGAACAAGAGAAAAGGAAGCAGCATAAATGCTAAGCTGTGTACAACACGTCAGCACTGTATAAAGAGCGCTCGCTGAAATTACAAAGCCCTCAATAGCAGTCACATTGTAAGACGTAACCATGGCAATCTAGATGCCTGGATCGTCAATAAGCGCAGAACAGAGAGGGGGTGGTGGAATAAAAAAGAATAGCCTGTAGTATTATGTTTAAGGGAGATGGTTGGGGGATGTAATGAAAAACTGTGACAGGTCATACAAAATACACTCAACCCTCGATAAATATTACTATCCAAGATTAAGGTTTAAAAAATGGAATAACCACTTTAAGAACAATAAAAAAGACTTCCATGGTCAAATCACTGGTCAATCATATCTGCTGGGTAATTTGTCTCTGTCCAATTTAGCCTCAGTATAGTTTTCCATGTGCGCTGGGCAGGCCGGAAACAAGAAAGGGTTCATTCACAATTCTTAGGGGATGATCTCAGTTGACATAAACATTTTCTGCATGATGTGATGTTGACGCTTTTGGAATTAACAACACACCCTTTTCTAGACAAGGGCAAAACATGAATTTGCACATACTCAGTTTTTCTGCTTTGTAGCGGTACTAGCATCAAGATTTTCAAAAACAAATATAGTCCCAGATGTCCTATATTCACTGAATATCATGGAACATTGAATGAAAATCATTCCTTGAATCAGTCAGGAATTGTAGCAGCTATATGAGCTAATACATTTTTAGGCACTTTGGAAGAACTGCTTCATAATAATTAAACATTATTGTGTTGCACAAATAAACAGACAGGATTAAAACAGCCCAAACTTCCAACGATGACTACACAACTTAGAAAGCTACAACAATATATTTATTTAAGGTGAACTGTTTTCAACCTAATTAAATAAAATGGTGGTAGTGTTTTCATTAGTTATACTTTGAAATTCTGCAGCTTAGACAGTTGAGCTGTCTAAGGAAAATTGCATGCTCTCCAGACATTTTCAACGGAAAGTAAACAAGGACAATCTAATGTTGGTATCAGCATGCACTGTCAGCTCTGCTGGCTGCAGGCGAACATTAAATGTGGTTTGTCCAGTAATGCTTATGATATATGTAGGAGGAGAAAACCACATTGTTAAAAAAGTTACAATGAAAAAAACAGCATTAAACAATGGCTTGAACTTTATGTAGTGGATATAGCAAAGCTGTGGATTAATCATGTTCTGTGAAAATGCCAGCGTACTGGCCCAGCACGGCTGAGAACGGTACTTGTAATGATAATGCAGATTTACTACATAGAACAAGGCCATGCTAAATCCCGCACTATTCAGATTTTCCAAAAAACAATAAAGACACGAGAAGTAGCATGCATCAGTCAGCATCTGGTATGACCAGATATGGTGCCAGACAGACCAGTAGGGGCTGTAAAGCCTCATATGGCCTCTATTTTCTCTTTTTTCTGCTCTTTCAGCCCTCTCCTCCCTCCTCTCCACGCCGTGCCGCTGCTGGCAGAGACCGCGCAGATCAAAGTATTCACAGAACGAACCGCAGGCCGTCTTGCCCTGCAAAGAGATTTGAACTGAAAGGCAAGCAAGGGCAACACAAGCAGCCAAGCTAGTGGGGAGCAGCAATAACCCACAAAAACTAACCAAAAATAGTCGACGCTTGTCTTTCGTTAAAAAATCTACCAATCATTTGTCATTGCTTTTTTATTGGGTAAATGCCAACAACGTGTATTTGAATTAACAATCTTTAAAAAAAAAGGAAATCACCTCTGTCGCAGGATGTGTTTCACTGTGCTAGAAGCTGTGTTTACAAAAGAGAACTGAATAAGACCATCTATAAATGGTAGAGGCCTTTATAAATTGTATATTTTCTGTCACAGGCTGTCAGCTAAAGATAATCATAAAAGACTACGTGCAACCTTTCTTAGCTTTAGCTTCTATGATGAGAAGTGTAAAAAATAAAACTGAAAATGTCTTTGGCAAAGTAGCAGTGAGGAAGTCCCCTGAAACACAATCTTCCCATTTTTAAAAACAGTGCCTGTTCATTGTCAAACAAGATGACCCTGTAAATTATACAAATACTTTAAAAGGACGCCTGTATCCTGTCCTGACAAAGACAGGCTGGAACTGGCATCTACCTCTGGGAAATGTTGAGTTCTGGTAAGCATTTTCAAGTTGCTTTCCCAGTAATATCAGCGGTAGCATTTATAATAACTGAAAAAGGCAGTAGTGTTACATACCATGCAGTAGATAATGATCCCAAATGATTACTACTGGAAATTGTAATTCAACAGTAAACTAAATCTGATTATCAAAAGCATAATGTCTGTCGTTTCATCACAAGATTAACTTAAGATAACTTCTCCGAATGTGAATTATTTTTAGACGGCAATGGAGATAAATCAGTCAAAATGTAATGCAGGTTATCATTTTCTATGAAAATTGATCACATGTCAGCTGTCATGGACGGCCATGTACATTTTCAATATACAGCATCACCATAGATTGTGATTCTTTTTTATTTTTGACAAATGTGGTTTTGGTTTTAATTTGATTAGGTTTGGTAAATCTGACAACAACAACCCTGTGGGTTTGTAGGTACCTTACTACAATAGTTTCACGATTAGCAGCTCAATTAAAAATACATTAAAAATATTGGGCAGACAAACCCAAACAGAAAACATGTTAAAAAAAAAATGTGTCCATGCCTCAGCTCCCAACATTTTTGCGTCAGAGGTAATCTCGCAAAAATAAATAAATAACTGACAAAATGCAATTATCACCTTTATTTTCTGCAAGCAACCCTCGTCAGTAACACCTCTCACCAAGCTCATTGACGACCAGACATAGTTAGCAACATCCCTAGCCACAATTGTTTAAAGTTAAATAAATCAATATACGCATATCTACTTATATGACCTCTGTAATGATGTAATGTAATGTAAATGCAGCTTACAAAAGGGTGCCGCAACTGAAGTTAGACTCAGTCATTTCCCCCCCCATCTGTCCAGATGGAGATAAGCTAATAACAGGTTACTGAGCAGTGAGAGGAACAGGAATAGCACATCGTGTCTCTGACTCCCTCTGAACTGTTGCCTCGGCAACTTTGACAGACATGCCTAATGCACGTTAAGTCAGTCTCCTGCTTGTTACTGTAAGTCGGCTCACAGTCATCTTCTGCGGCCTGTCAGCGTTTCCTGCAGCTTTTCTCAAGGGCATGCGAATTATATTGCAGAGGGCATAATACAACCCACAATTTTCTTCTTAACATTGTGAATACAGACTCTCAACTGCAATTGTAGTCAGCAGGGTTTTATTCGCAATAGCTACATATTTTCAGAGATATTTTTTTCTAGCAATTACAAAAAGACTACATGGGTGACTTTTTAGGAAAAGGCCTCCAGGATAAGGCCTCTTTTCATTAAACACAAAAGCACAGCTCAAGTTTTAAAAGTTGTATGGGAACTAACCACAAGACTGAAACAATGTTTGTCAGTTAACAACAGATAACAGTTGGAAGACCATCTGATCGAGCCCACTGTCACTGCTGTTCCTCTTGTAGATATATTCATGACAGGAGATTTATTTGACCAAAGAGTCGGAGACAAAAATGTTCTTAATGAAGACCAGAATGGGGGACATAAGTGTATGTCCGCCAGATGGGTGAGCACCCACCAGATTGGTGCCAAAAGCTCACTTAGGTGGCTTGAATGTCCTGGTTTGTGGAGGACGGAGGACCCCAAAATGCACACACACCAGCATGAGGCAGTAGAGTAAACGTGATGATTTATTGACAGAAGGTAACAAAGATCCGGGAATACCTTTAAATCAAACTAAAGGACAAAAACTAAAGAACTGACTTTCAGGCGACGGGAAAAGAAGTAATCAGGACAACGAGAGGAAGTTTACGCTGAGGATCTGGCAAAGACTGAGACAAAACATGGGGCTTAAATACTGAGAGATGACAGCTGAGGACAAAGAGCATAGGTGAAGGGTGTTGAACCAATGAGCCAATGGGGGCCTTGGCAAGAATCGGAAGACTAGACAAAAACCAGGAAGAGGAAAACAAAATGAGAACACGGAAACAAAAGAATGGTAAACTAAGAAAGACACGATAGGGAAGAAATGGAAGAAAACCCAAAACGGGTCAAAACAGAAGTCCCTAGACAAAGTAATACACTTAAAACAGCACATCAAAAGTGAAGGAGACTCTGAAAGGAAGCTGGAAGATTTTCTATTGGTGTTGGTTTTCCATTCTATAAATGATCTTAATGTTTTGCACTTCTTTCAAATAAACCTGTCCAGTGATGTGCCTTAATTGTGAAGTGTAATGAAAGTCGGTCGAGTTTTGTGTTGTGAACAGCTTAAAGGTGTTGTTTATCCTCCACAGACTACATTATCAGTGCTAGTGGTGAGCACTGACTCATCCCCGTTTTCATATCACTCCACTCAGTAGCGTGAAATCTTTTTAAAATAAATGAAAAAAAAAAACTTGATATTGTGACGACAATCTAACTTTGTCACTTGCTAAAGTGATCTCTATTTAGGCATATTTTCTACCACAAATGTATGTTCAATTCAAAACACTATTTCTGACTAAATCCATTTATTATAGATATTTGATCCAACATTTTTCTCCTTTCTGATGGACATATGGTGATATATTGAATACGAAGAAAATGTCTCTTCCACATATCTCTCAGATTTAATACTAAATCATTTGCCTGCAATCAAGGCACTCTCTGTTGGTACGCCTCAATCTGAAGTACCTATCCAATTAAAAATCCCTTTATACCTCTAAACTCCTTGACGGCAAATCAATCTAGAAATTTAATCAGCATAGAAAACATAAACTAAACATAACCAAAGACAGAAATCAAATGTTTATGGCCATTAACAGTTAACCATTCAATTCATAACAATGGAATCCACTGTGTCAAGAATCCATAAAGAAACTATATCTTAAGGGAAGTTTGCCATCAAACTTCCTTTACTTCTCCAAAGCTAGAAAAGACATTCCGTATCACAGGCAGCAACTTTGAAGAGTTATATTCTGTCTTTACAATGCTAAATTAGAAATTCCATTTCTACTTAGATCCATTTAAAACCAGCAGGGACAAAGAAACGGGCATCTGAATACCACGGAAGTATAGGGGGAAAAAAATCCATAATGCGCAAAACCTATCACTGAAAGCCAGGCGGTGCCTTATAAAACACAACACAGACTTCATTAATACTGGGTCACAATTCATAGCGTTAATGCCCAAACGCTCCCCTTTGGAGAAAACTCTACATTATAATATTGTAATTTTATTTCCCCCCAAAGAGCAAACAATTGATCCAGACTCTTTGTATTTTGTTGGAACCAAATACCACCAGTCTTTACGATTAAGACGGAGAGCTCTGGTACACGTTTATCATAGGAACCTAAAAATGCTATAATTATATAGTTTTGACACCTCAGTAAAAACCGCAATAGTGTTTCTAAACACATGATGACAGTGCTGTGAGTCACTGATGATTGAAAACAATAGAAAAGCTTTGGTTTTTTGTGGTTGTTGACGCAAACCACTCTGAGCAAAAGTTTGCATGTACCTAGAAGTAAAATGAAAAATGGCTGTCAAAAACACGCCCATGACATTCATTTTAGGAGTTCTATCTCCACGGCAGTCCTTACAGGCAGATTTTAGACGCTTCCTTGCTCCAAACAACTGACTCGAATCCTGCAGGTCTCCGAATAGCTCGTTCACTTGAACCGAGTGTGTTTAAAACAGGGACACGTCTAAAACACGCGGGGGCAGTGGACCTTGAAGAATTTAAGAGTTTGACGAGGCGACTCACCTATATACAGCGAAGAGTCCTTCCTGTGGACATGGTCGTCAATGTAAGACACTCCTAGAGGCTGGACAGGCGTGGCCCCGATGCCAAGCAGAACCTGGGCTCCAATCAGCAGAAGATACATCATGTTGGTGTTGGCTCGGTTGCCGCAGTTAAACCCAGAGTCTCGATTTTCAGACCTAGTTTTGTTGGAGCAGATGTCCCTGCCGTCCTCAGCATGCCACGAGTCCCCGGCCTCGTACTCATACTGGTGAGTCAAAAACTCCGGTAAGGCCGACAACAGCGCTCCCAGCGCCATGACGATCCCGCCGCAGCCAATCAGGCGGGGCCGGTGGGCCTTGGCGCCAAAGTAGCTGACGAACAGGATGAGGGCCAGGTTGCCGATCTCAAAGCTGCTGGCGATGACGCCCACGTCGGCGCTCTGGAGGTTGAAACGTCTCTCCAGGGTGGTCAGGACGCTCACCTGACCGAGGAAGAAAGGGACACAAAGAGGAAAACGCCCAAAAAGTTTTATATCCTGTTTTTATCCGGGTTTTTTTTGTCATTTCACGTAAAATGTTTTTCGGTTTATCTGCCGCTGCTTCAGAGCTCACTGTCAGCAAGATAAACCTGTTGAAAGCGTACAGTAAACAGAACGGTCCAATGCCTCCATCATCGCCATCTTCCCCTTCCTCCCACAGCTCCCCGAAAATAAGTGTCTAAATAAACGATAAATGTCGGTTGTCTTGTTTATGACCAAGTATGGTTGCACGCAGTAATTAGTTGCGTCATTGATTGATGGTGATGAATTCCAGACGTGTGCCCTAATTTTTGTAAAGATCAATAAGCAACATACATCCTAGGAAGCTACTGAATCTGATTTACAACCACTGTTACAAAACTGGGTAGTTCTGTGTGGCACATTTTGCAATCTTCAAAGATTTTTCTTAAGTTCCGCAAGATGACCGGGGACACTCAACTTTACACATGGCAATGTCCCTGCACGTCTGATATAGTTGAAGTTATTATAACGAGAAGAGGATTTGTGATTCAAATATTCCCCTTATGTTTTGTTTCTTTCATGGACTCACATTCTGATCTAGTGTTTGCTTCTGGTAAAAGAACAGAAATCAGCTGTGCTCATGTCAAGCATCACAGAGGAAAAGATGAGCAAGCAAATACACTGACATGTGACTAAAGAAAATGGCTGAGAAGAACATTTCTAAAGGAGAAAAAAAAGGGACAGGAGGCAGTATCTTGCTCGGGAGGATGCAGGCAGCGTTTCTACCTGTACTTTAATCAGCAGAAGGATTTGCCATAGGGGCAGTTTTGCTCTAGATGCTCTTTAAAAGGAGGAAGTTCCACTGCAGTCTTCAAGGAAAATAAATAAATATCTGAATTGCTGACCCTTGTAAAACCCATTAAAACCAACTCTGCTGTTCGGATGCCAAGACGTAAACAAATATCATTGAAGAAAGTTTTTTTTTTTCCCCTAACCAAGAATAAAAAGCAAAACAAGCAGACGGCAGCCACACTGTGGGCCCTCTTCATTTTCTCCTTTCAGGATGACTTCCTTCACTGTGCTAACGTGAGTGAAGGATTTTAAAGCATTCATACTTTCGTTATAGGTCATACTTAGAAGAAAAAGACTAATTTAAAACAACTTATATTTATATGCAGTACGAGACTATGACGACAACTAACAGAGCAGTTGGCTTTGATCAGGAGAATAAAAGCAAAGCACTCACGTCATTGAATCTTTCAGTAGCAGAGATTATGTTTTTGACTAATTAATCATCAAATACGTCAATTGGAATTTTGGCAATTGGAAATAAAACCACCAATATGTCAATTTTGCTGATTGAACATGGTTGTTTGGAAAGAAAGACAAAAAAAATACTGTACAGCTTAGGTTTGTAGAGTAACATCTGAACAAACTGCAGGACTCCTGGAATAATGTCCTTTGGACAAAAAGGTGGAAATGTTTGGTCCCAAATAACTGAAATGTTGGTGTACAGCTCCAACACCCCATACCAACTGAAGAGTGGACCTAAATCCAACATTTTAAGAGACTGAGGGCATCATAAGGGAAATATTCATTTAAAAAGCAACAGAATCATGAGCGAGTTTAGTTTTCCACGTTAGGCCTCTGCATTTTTTGGCTCGACTGTCTACGATTTAATGATAACAAAACTTTTTCTACAATTATGAGAGCGACTGCCAGTATCTGGCCGTGTTATCTCAGAATATTATAGTCAGATAAGACTGGTCAGGTCAGAAAGAAAAGTTGTGTGACTGCACCTCAGACTGATACACTGTAACCTCTGCATTGGAGATTTTTTTGGGGGGGATAAATTCTCTCTTCCTATCATTTCGTTTTCAAAAGGAATTCAAACTATATTCTTAACCAATGTAGATGAGATTAAATTGCTCTCGTTGAAGTCCATCCGGTGACATTAGGGTCAGGGTTCCAGAAAAATGTGGTGTCACTGACCAAAAGAAAAAAAAAACAAGAAAAAAAAACACCTCTTGCCTCCTTTTGTTGTGGAGATCACGTCATCGCTCAGAGGCCTGTGGACAACCGGTGTCAAAGGCTCTCCTGCATTATTTATTCGGGCGTTTTGAGTGCAAAAGATAGCACCTCCGCGCCAACGTTTCGTAACCCGCTCTCTCCCCCTGCAAGTCCGTCCACTTACGCATAGAGTCAGACCGTGTCCAGAGCAGCGTGGAGCCCACAGAGCCGCTGTGACGCGGTTAGTGTCATGCAGATGGCGCATAGGCCTGATGGATGACACGCAGCAAGTCATCAATCAACGCGAGCAACCCCCCCCCCCCCCCCCCCCCCCCCCACCCCCCACCCAGTCCCACGGTTACTGGAGGATGTGATCACACTAATAGACTATGATCGGAATAACAAGCCCTATTAACCGCAGCGTTATTAGCGCGCGTCGGTCTGAAGGGCGCTGCGTCCACCACGACGTTATACCTGAGAGGGGGGAAAAAAATAAAAAGGGCTGAGATTAGAGCCCCCTGTTTTGTTTTTTTTAACTCACCAGATATGCGCCCACGGTGCCCTGTGCCAGCATGAGCGCGCATTCCGACACCAGGAAGATCTTGATGTTGGAAAAACAGGAGGTCTTCTTTTGATTGTCGTCCGGCTCCGGGTCGTCGGTGCTGCTGCTGCGCTCTGTGCAGATCTGGTTTTTAACCTGCATCCTGAGGCTTCAGGCTCCGGTGGTCGGATTGGACGGCATGAAAGGGAGCGGGTCGCGTCCAACGGCGGCGATCATCTGGTTCCGACGTTTTCACGGAGCGGCCACTGGAGCGGGGGGGTCTGGTGTCTTGGCAGGAATATAAAAAAAAAAGGGACTACGGCCGAGACGCGCTAATGTCCACTCAGCATTACGCGCAGTCCGTTAAAAAAAGACCTCTCGTCGCGCGTCCACTCAGTGCTTATCGCCCTCATCGTATTTAAATACGTAGCCTACGCACCTGGGACGACGGTTTTTTTCTTAAATGTCCGACGCAGAGCTACAGGACGTCGCTTTCCCCACATCCGGGAAGCAGAATCACACCCCCCCCCTTTCCAATACCGAGCACCGCCGCCGACTACTTTTGGTTTCGCAGACCCACCAGCTCTGAGATGCAAGATCCGCGTCCCGGTGGCGGTGCCGTTACGCTCCTCCCATCCATTAAGATCAGCTGGGAGAGAGGTGGTTATCGTCTCCTCTCGCATCGGTTAAATCCTTCCACCGTTTCAACGTCATTGCCAGTTTTCTCTTTTCCAGGCGTATGTCAGCCTGATCAGCTCACCTCAGCATCCACGCATCCTAATACTAACAACAACCACATCCATTTATCGCTGCTGTTTGGATGGAGACCAAAAAGACATGTCACCTTAAAAAAGAAAAAAAGAAAAATCACATTCCACATCAGTTCTGAGAAATCCATATAGCAACGAATTAGTTTAATCCAAACAAAACCAGTCCATAACATTATTCCAATACATACAAAGCCACAAAAAGAAAAACCTAGATAAGGAAACTGACAGATTGCACAAAGATTTTCCCTCATTCAGTGTCCTGTCCTAACGCACAGAGTGACAGTAAGAAAATAGAAATCTATTGACTGGCAGAAACTTCAGTCAGAGCCAGACTAAAGATGCTAATTTGCTGCTGTGACAGAGCAACAATCAAGGACACTGATGTCACATTCAGATAGAGATGGATTAAAATAGGGCAAAGTAAGGGAAAGGGAGCATTGAGTAACATAATAGTTAGAATTTTCAGGATCACCCAAGCAATGAATGCAATCACATTCACCACATTCTCAGGCCAAATACAGTCAGATGTAGTTTATTTTTTTCGTTGATTTTTTTTTTTTTTTACAGAAATCTGATTATCGGTTCTGACTCAAATCAACCAGTGTTAGGTTAGGCATACTTTTTTTTTAGGTTAGTATGTTTGCCTCTGCTTACTGATTACAACTACTTCAACGAGCTGATATTATACAGTCAAGCTTGTTTTCCCTTAATGGCATATAGATGTATGATTTCTCCATTCTATTCTTGCATTGTTTCATTCTCTGTCACGAAACAGATTTGTTCTTCTTTTTTTCTTTTTTTTGGGACTTGCTGTCAAAAACTGCAGCACTGACACATTAAGGCAGGAAAATGACACTAAGATATCAAAAGCAGTTGATCAGTGGTTGCTATATTCTATGTGCTATGTGCACATTTGCATCCCTAACCTCTGTTTTAGAACAGTTTTTATGTAAATCTTATCTTCTGAGCATTCTTACAAATACAATATTTTTCCAATTTGAGTATCTATTAATGACATATTTAAAAAAATATCTACTTCACACACATTCCTTTTCAAATGGCAGCATCTTTCAAATACATTTTATTAAAGATTAGGACCGTGCGCTATTTTTATAGATATGTTTTTCTCTGTGTATTCATGATCTGAAATGAACCAGAATCAGGTAATGTGGCCTATTTATGCACCCTTTCTTCTTTTTAAAGCACAGGCTTTAATCTCACTTTGAGGACAGCGATCTAAAAAAAGCCCCACAAATTCTCTTCTGTTTAACCTTGCAGTGCTTAAGCCTGATTTTGTACTGATTGGCTGTCTGATTTGGTCTGCAAGTAAGTTTAATAAGATGATTTCTTCACTTCTAATTGGCAACTGGTTGTCCATACATTCTTACTAAGTGCTGTCACTCAATGATCTCCATTGTGAGACTTTACTGACACCATCAGTTCAGTGGCATAAGGACAAGCTGGGTTGTGCTGAAAGATCTGACAGAAGCAAAGTAACATATGATAAAATGTAACATTAGAATAGGCTGCTGTGTAAGCACAGGAAGTGAGAGAGACTGAGACAGATCAATACAGTTGTTTTAGCTTAACCCTTAATGTTGCTCTGGTGTCAGTTGTATCCATGAGTGCAAATATTCACAGTACCGTTTTAAATAAACAACACAGAAACTGTAATTAGGAAAAAAAAACATATCATACATGTTTTTTGTGAAGTGTTGGGACAGAGGAGGTCAGAATAATGCCCTTAAATCAATTTCACTTCTCAAACTCGGTGAGAATTTGAACAGCTAGATGGCCCTAATGCACCCCATGGCTGTTATATGAGCTGTATCAGGCATAAATCATGACTGTACACTGTGTGAATACTACTTTGAGTCTCGGATAGTCCATTGGACTCAGTTAGATCCAGCAATGCCGAAAATCTTTGCAACTTAATTTGCTTTGCTTTTTTTCACACTGGATTCTTGAAAATGGACCAAACTGCATGCATTCCGTTCAGCAGTTACTATTGGATTGTGTATGTGTGTGCTCCTCAGTTGACCAGAACCAGATATGAAAATCCAAACCCCTTCAAGCATTGTGCAGCAAGAGAAAACAAACTAAATCTGGAGCAACATCAGATTTATGCAGTCTTAGGATATCTGTTTTTACTTTGATGCTCAAACTTTATGGCTTTTCCATATCAAGCTGCCCTGGTTGAGGAGCAGAGGTGGCAGCGAGCTGTCCAGAATGTTAAATTCACACGACAAACGAAGTCGTACCGCCTAAGAGCCTGAGACTGTGAAATGCTGCTGAGGTTACGCACGGAAGCTGGGCTATGCCGTATATTCTTAGATATTCCGTAATCCCGCATGCCAGGGCCCTGTGTGACCACCTTGTCCACTTCCATGCTCTACTGAAAACCGAAATGTAGTGGGTCAGGTTTCTGGCAGGGTTTGTGTCCCAGACATGTGAAGTGAGGGCTACACATCTCTGACAGCTCCACGGCTCAGACCCTGAACGTTCTAGGGCAGACCTGGCCTGCAGCAGTTGTTTTCCACAAACTCGCCTCGCCTGATACGTGATGATGGCTGGGGGTAGGCAGGAACCCACCACTGTGGTGTAAAGGGTGTGTGAAAAGTGGATAGCAATCTGCGGTAGCTGGAGGAAGTGAACAACCATGATATTCTTAATACCATCCCAGTTGTCCTGCATCTTTTTCAAAATATTGTGAGTATTAAACAGCATTCAGCAAAAAAAAAACAAATGTTCTGGAAATCTGGAAACAAGCAAACAAACAAGCAGCTCCAACTGAGCCGTTTTAGCCAAATGATCTCAATGATGTGGATGTTTCTATTGACCAAAACATTTTTTTTTTATTCATGAAATTATAGCACCATTTAAATGTGTATGGTCATCTTCAATATCATTACTGTTGTTACATATTTATGTAAAATGACTGTCAAGTTGCAGCAGAGCAGGTGAGGACAGCAAAGAGGAAGCCCTGAAGCACGGTAGGTGGGGGTCCTTTTATATCAGGGATATTTGCGAGTGCCAAGGTCACTTACCCCGCAGCGTTTGGCTCCCCATATTCCTCAGACAATTAAGATGCTCTATCAGGATCAATTCGATAGCATCTGAAGCAGCACAATCTATCAGGTGAAGTGTGGACTCAGCATGGAGGGCATCCATTTCTCATGGAGTCACCCTGAGTAGCGGCGGTGATTTAAGATCAACCACAGCGCCTGCTGATGCACTGCAAGCCCCGTGAAGACATTATCTTTGGATGCCTCTTAATCACAGGACCCACCGAGAGAAGGATGCATTTCCCCATTTGGGCTCTAAAATTGCAA